AAACTAATAACCAAACAAAAATCCAACACGTCACGATACAAAAAAAATTCTTCAAAGAATAGCAAAGAGCAAGAAGACAGAATAATGGAGTAGTTCTAATTTAGAAAAGGTGGTTAGGAGAGGCCTCCCCAAAGTGAATAAAGCCCTGAATAAAGTGAAAACACAAGCCATGAAGATATCCACAGGGAATGTGTTCTAGAAGGTGGGAACAGCTAGTGCAAAGCCTAAGTGGGTAGAATATTTGCCATATACAAGGACCTGCAAGGAGGCTGGTATGCTACAGTAGAATAGGACATGGTAGGTGGCAAGGTCAGAGGGGTACATGTGGGGACAGCAAATCACACAGGGTGCTGAAGGTCACTCCATTGGAGGCCTGACCAGGGGACAACATGATCTGATGTGAACGGTGTTATAAAGACCCACCTGGCCATTTCGGTGGAGGAGACTATGGGAGCAAGAGTGGACATATAGAATGTGATGAAATTCAGCCCACTCTGTTGGATACTGAGAGGGATAGAAGATGAAGACAGCATTTGGTCTTCATTGATGAAGAAAAAAACAAGTAAACAAATAACTCAAACGTGGCTAAGCCATGGTACAAACAAAAGCCATCAATTGTGACTCAGCGATAATGACGGCCACTTCTCACTCATTGACCAGGTGCCTCATGTTCCTCACACTTTATCTGGCTTATTCCTCCAAAACACTCCACAGGGAGGAGGCATTAGCCACAGGTCATCGAATGCCAAATGCCCCCCAGTTTCTTAGCACCCACGTTGTCAACAGCATACAGTGACAAATGGAGGCCCCAAGAGGTCCATTTTTGTCTTTCCATTTTTTAGCAACTTGCTCAAAAATCAAGCTCATTTTAAATGGCAGAGCTGGAATTTAAAACCAGGCAGCCTGACTCCAAAGCAGAGTTCTGAACCAGGTCACCACATTGCCACCAAATGTCTTCCCTGTAGGTATTTGGGCTTCTGGCCTCTGGTTTGGGGAAAAGAAAAATGAGCAATGAAAACACAAAGAGCTCTCGAAATGATAAAGCAGAGTTTTATGATGCTGAGGATGGTTGTAAAAGCAGCAATAGGTTTTAATGAGCTAAGAATTCTTTTAGCCCAGCAAAGTGATTTGTATCTTTCCCAGCGCTATACTCCCAAATGACAAAAATCATTATTTTTTCCCAGCCTCCTACAAGTTGCTCTATCTTATTTATGTTGTTCTCCACACAAATGGAGAAAACTCTTTTCTTCTTAAAATTCAAATTAATTCCTGCTTAATTTTCCTCTTCTTTTATTTTGGTTTTGTCCTTTCAGGGAAGTCCCCCTGCTAATTGTAAGGGCAGTTGTGATGAACTTCCACTAACCCCAAGATGGCAAATGTCTGGCCATTGTTTTCTTTCTTTCTCTCTCTCCCTCTCCTCTTGTTGCAGACATCTCTAATTGATACTGGTGTCCTCTGCCTGTCCTTTCTGAGATTTCACGGTGCTTTTCACAGCACTCCAGAGCGTCAGTTGCTACCAATAGATCAACGTTAAACCCATGTGCCATCTTTGAAGTTATAGTCTTTCTCAAAGCCCTGGTTATGAAAATGGGGGATCATCTCACTCAGGGATACTCTTTGAAATACCCATCAGGGTTCTTAGCACAGAAGCCATGGTGAATGCAGGTATCTGGTAAGAGGCAGCATATGCATAGAAAGGAGGGCTGGTGGGTTGTATTAAAGCAGTCCTGGAAAGGGGAGAGCTGAGAAGCATGAATAGCACTTGGGAGGCTACCACCTCATAATAATCCAGACAAGAGAGGAAGATGGCCAAATTGAGGTAATGGCAGCAGAAATGGGAGGTTTTGCAGTGTTTTTTCAAGCTGTAAGTCATGAAATCAATTTGCTGGGTCATGACCACCACTTCTTAAAAATGAAGTAATAAAATAGAATAGAATAGGTATTGTTTGGTGAAGCTCATTTCAGCCCTTATATTACATGTGTGTATCAGGTTGTAACGTAAAAGGTATGTCTTACTATGATAGGTTGAATAACAGTCCCCAGGCCCCTCACCAAAGACCTCCACACCCTAATCCCTTGAACCTGTGAATATGTTACATTACATGGCAAAAATTCTATTACAGATAGAATTAAGGTTACTAATTAGCTAATCTAGAAATAGGGAAATTTTCCTGGGTTGTGGAACCAGTGATTTCAGACTGGTGGGACCTTGAACCAAGAAAACAGCCTGGCCCACAGGACTTTTGGCCTACAGAATTTTTAGATAATAAATAAGTATAGTTTCAGTCCTCCAAATATGTGGCAATTTGTTATTGCAGCAGTAGAAAACTAACAAAGGCTTGAAAAAAGTTTGACAGTTTCTGCTGCAGGCGTTTAGTATCAGATGACTGGGTTCTATTTACTAGTTCTTGTATTTAGTTGCCTGTGACCTTGGGCAAGTTATCCAACATTTCCTTGGATATAAAACTGGGGTATAATAAAGCAAACTCACTGGGTTTTGGAGGGACCAGGACCAAAATTAATGGTGGTAATGCACGTAAAATATTCAGAGTGATAATTATTACTGTGTCCTTGATTTAGTAGAAAGGCAAGCTTCTTGACCTTCAGTTTCTTATCTGGAAAATGGAGATAATATGACTCCCTCATTTGGTTGGGGTCAAGAACTAATCAAGTATTATAAAATAAGGCTCACAAAACTCCCTAAAAACTATAGATAAAAGATGATAAGAAACTACTAGTTCTTCACTGCAATATCTGCTCTCCCCTTCTTCATAATTAATATAACCTCCAACTTTTAGCAGAGACATGGCTGCTTAGGATAAAGAGGATGTGACCCAGTCTCCCTGGGAGCTTGATGTAGCCATATGACTTAAGTGCTGGCCAGTCATGTGTAAGCAGAAGTGTTATGTGCAGCTTCCAGAAAGTCTGCCTAAAAGGCTGTGGACAGACCCTTCTTCTACCTTCTTTTCTGTTGACAGGCTTGAGGTCATAATGGCAGGAATTCAAGCAGCCATTTGGGACTATGAGATTGAGAACTCCAGAGCAGCAGGATAGAAAAAAAGCTGAGTCCTTGGGGATTTGCAGGGCCACACAAGCAGCCTGAATTGCCTATCTCAGTGCTTTGCTTAGACAGGAGAGAAACAAACTTTATTAGTACGTTTTCCTACTGTTGTAAAGAACTGCCTGAGACTGGGTAATTTATAAAGAAAAGAGGTTAATTGTAAGTTACACCTGAGACTAGAGAGGCCTCAGGAAACTTACAATCATGGTGGAAGGTGAAGGGGAAGCAAGGCACCTTCTTTGCAAGGCAGCAGGAAGGAGAAGTGCAAGCATATGCCAGATGCTTATAAAACCATCAGATCTCGTGACACTATCAGATCTCATTCACTATCATGAGAACAGCACGGGGGAACCTGCCCCCATGATCCAATTACCTCCACTTGGCTCTGCCCTTGACACCTGGGGATTATGGAAATTATAATTCAATATGATATTTGGGTGGGAACACAGCCAAACCATATCACTTCTGACACTTAGGTTGTAGAACTTGTAGGGCTCAAAGCTTTCCAATTTGCTACTCACAGCATCAAGCAACTCACCACAAGTTGAAGCTCTTTGATCAACCAGTTTATGATATTAATGATGCTTTAAAACTTTGCAAACTGCTATACACATATGCCAAGAGCTCTCAAAAGGATCCCAAATATTTATAAAACAAATATATAGATTCATTTAAATGCTTAAATAAAGTAAGGTGAAGTATTTACATGGAAATGTTTTAACTCAATAAGACATTTTTCAAATGGCTCAATTTGTCTCATGGATCAGTCATCAGGGAAAATAAACTAACCTGGCATCTTTGTGTGGACTCATAAAGGAAATTAGTTTGCAGTCCACAAGGAAGTTGCTTCTCATGCACTCAATTGTGTTATGTCAAAAGAATCAATAAAGATGAACTATTTTAAGATGAACATCCCAATATAATCCATTAGAGTGCATGGGCCATTTGCATTTTCTAAAGATGCAAATAATGAAATCAGGATGAAGAGTAATCCAAAACAATTTTCTACCTTCCAGAGAAGCCAAAGTATACAAATGGAATGAGAAGCTCCCTCTTATGTTATTCAGAGGAAGACTCTGGCCCAACCAGCTCATCTCACACATAACTCTGAGGTCCCCAAATCTAGAGGCATTTGAAGTTTATTAAATGAACTGGCCCTTCCTGACAGAAATCATGAACCAATTTTAATTCAAAAGGAAGCCTCCAAAAAAAGTACACCATTGTGTGATTTGAGAAAAGAAGGGCATTTACTATGGGTGGTACAAATTATACTCATGATCTTACTCCTTATAATATCCCAGGAGGCAAGTATTGTTCTATCTTGCAGATGAGGAGTGTGAGATATGAAGCGACTTCTGCAAGGTCACAGAGAGACACTGGCAGAATGAAGAAAGAAACCAAAGTCTGTTTGATGTAATAGTCTAGAGCAGAGCTGTGCAGTAAACATCTAATATGATCCACATATGTAATTTAAACATTTTAGTAGCCACATTAAAAAAATGAAATTAAAGCTACCACTCCGATTTTGACCCAATAGATTCAAAACATTATCTATATGTAATCAATATAAAAATTTCTTTGTATTAAGATATTTCACACATTTCTTTGTATTAAGTCTTCAAAACCTGGTCTGTATTTGACATTTATATCACATCTTCGTTCTGACTAGCCACATTTCAAGTGCTCAACAGACATGTGTGGCTAGTGGCAACTGTATTAGACAGCATAGGCCTAGAGTAATACTCAGTAATACTCAGTAATGCCTGAATTTGTAGACTTACAAAATTGTAGTAACCTGATGAGACCCTACAGGGTTGCCCATATTTAATTTTGCCAAGTATATTGGTTTGCTTAGGCTAAGTCATGATGCACTAACAAGCAACCCCAAATCTCAATGGCTTGCAACAACAAAATTTTATTTCCCCACTATGCAACATACGCATATGAGTTGGCTACCACTCTGCTCCTTGTCATCCTCTGTCCGAGACCCAGGCAGATGGAACAAGCAATACCCTGTGGAAGAAGGAAGAGAGATACTAGAGAAACACATACGGTCTCCTAAAGATTCTGCTAGGAAAGGGTACATTTGACCAATGAAAGAGACAAAGCAAGTCTCATGGCCAACTCTCGTATCTTGGGGGACAGAGTAGGAAAGGATATGTGGTTCTCCTCTGCAGATGGACAACAAATACTTTGAATAACGACCTAATCTCCAGCTCCAAGGAAGGACTTAATAACACTAACATCTATTATCATTTCAAAAATGATCTTTTAACACCACAAAAGTAAGAAGGAGGGAATGCATTATTCTTATTTTCTCATCTCACCAGAAACTGGTGAAATCTATCCCTTGGACAGACAGTTAGGATTTGGGATCATTGATCTATGGAGTGATCACACCTCCTCTGCTTTGCCCCATTTCCTAAACAGTATGATTTCCAGGCATTCTGAGTTTTCCAAGTCTTTTAAAATCCATGTAATGTGATATGCACCAAGTAATTTATTTCTAAAGGTGATTTACACGGATTTTCACTGTCTACTTTACATTTCTGTACTATTTGAATTTTTAAAAATATATCATTTGGCCATAACAAAAAAATAAACATAAACATTTAACTCAACTCACAGGGGACTAGTGATGGGGTTGAGGGGAGCTTTTGTCTCCAAGTATGAGTGACGCAAACAGCCTCCTGTGTACCATAAGGGTGCCAACCACTTGGGCTCATTTCCCCTCAAGTTTTGCTTTATAATGCAGTTTAAGACTTAGGAGATTGGACTGGTTTAAATTCCTCAAAGGAGCCGTGTTGAGCCATCCAAAGGAACCATCCAGTAGCTTATAGAGTGAATTGAAAACCTGCCTTCTCCCTCCAAAGCAAATGTTTGCCACAAAAAAAAACACCCAGCAAATATTACACCAGTAATGCAAAGATGTCCATTTCTCTCAGATGGATGAATTACAAAGCCCCAAACTTCCAGTCACAGCTCAGTAAAGCCCTCATGAAATCATAAGGCATTTTCTTTTCTGGAAAAAAAAAATGAGGTAATTATGACCAAAAGTCATCGCACCTTGTATAGCCCCAGGAAACTAGCAGAACTTTATTAATCTTTAGATTAATATTTGGCCACCTTAACTTTTTTTTTAAAAAAGCAGCTACCCTGGGTCTCTCAAGAAAACTTATTAGATCTTTAAAGTATATCTATTTTTAAAATAATAAATATCTAAGCAAATAAATGCCACAGGCCCAAAGTCCCACAATTCACAGGAACAATTTCATTGCTCTTTTTACTGCTCCCAATATCACAAAAGTTTACAATTAACAGCCACCAACGTGAAAGAAGGAAAAGATAAAGAAAATGTTTATTGCTTTAGAAAAAGTGGTGTTGCCCTCTCAGCTCTGTAACCACCCTCCTTTCTGAGTGTCGCTGAGTAAATGAGACAGAATAAAACATGTTCTTAATGCGGACACCATGCATTTCCATAGACAGAAGCTGAGATGTGGCAGGAAGCACAAGCTCCAGAGCAGGGGGCTGGAGGGGGGAGGGTATGGATGATGCTCCCTAACACAATTACTGCCAATGACAGTGTAAATTTCATATCGCCTCTGAGCAGGATAAAAATGTGCCGAGGGGCATCTGGGTTTGAATTAAGATCATCAAAATGCCAAAGGGGGAAGAATATCTGAAGTTAAAAAGAAAAAAAAAAGGGATTCATCTTGAGATTTGCAAGTTCTTTTCTTTTTTCCTTCCTCATTCTTGATTTCAAGTATATATGTAGTTCATTCATTTATTCATTCAATAAACACATGCCAGGAACTGGAAACACTAATAACAGTAAAATACAATACATTTTTGTGTTCCTAAGTATGAAATTGCATCAATTTATTATGAATTAAATTTGAAAAACGTCACAGATTTAAAAACAAAGTACAAAAGTGCCTGATTCTTTTTAGTTCCACAAATACCTAGCATCCCAAAGCAATATGTAAACAAATTTCTATGCTGCTCAATGAATCCTTCCAATTTCGATAATAAACTAAGTAGTATCAGATCTAGTAGATGACTTTCATATGTAAGTTATGGTTTTATCCATTACTTTGACAATATTACTGATGTAACAGAGAAAAATTTTCAACTATGTAAAATACAATACTCTTAAAATCCAAATAACTTCATATTTTTAAAAATAGCACACATTCTAATCTTGCCATGGGTTAATAATGTTGTTAAACAACAACAACAACAACAACAACCTTTAACTAGGTTTCTTGTTAATTTGATGTTCTTGATAACTGGACCAGTTAGAATGAAAGCTGATTTTTACTGTGTCTCCAATAAAATACACACACACACACACACACACACACACACACACACACTCACACACATATACACAGTGTTTCTTCTATATTGCAGAAAACAAGCAGCTTTTACATGTATCAAAAGAATATTTTACTAAGGATTTTTCCTTGTGATTTTTTTTTCTTCTTATTTTCCCCTCAGCCCTTTTACCACTAAGGCTAAGCCATGATGCTTACTGGGAAAGGAAAAGGCTGTTTCCCACACAACAATGAAGTCCACAGAGCAGGGAGACATCAGGACACCAGAAGCAGCAGCGACAAGAGAGAAAGGAAGACAGAGACTTAACAGCTCAGAGAACCTCAATTTGCTCCTTCCTCTACCCTCAGGGTTGAACCTTGAGAGAAGGAAATCGTAGAAACTTTGGGGCTGGCACCCTGCTTCCCCCTAGATCACCTGGGGGGACCCTTCACCCCTTTGAGAGAAGTATGGGAAGGGGACAGTCCCGGTTAAAGGTCTTGGCCTCAGGTCTGGCCTCCGATTCCCTCTACATGCATGTGCTTAGATGAGATATGTTCCTAAGGGACCCAGGAGTCGGTGGTGGACGTTCTCAGAGGACTGGAGAGATCTCATGAACAGAGGTGTGGCCGAGTCTGCAGTCACCAGCAGCAGGGGACTGGTGCAAACTTCAGAGACCGAGCATTCACCAGAACGACAGCCCAGCCCATCTCAGCCACACCACAGCAGGCACCAGTCCAGGCACAGAGGGTCTCCCACCACCCAGCTGTCCCATGAGGTGGTTAGCCTGCTCCTCAACCAGACACCACTCAGGGATAATAGAAAGGGGAAGAGAGAAGAGAATTGACATTTATTCAAAGAAGACACAGTTACCCTGAGAGTAGCTGTTTGAAACCAGAAGAGGCTCAGCAACATTTACTTGGCAAGTCTGTTTCTTTGGCCTAGTGGAATAAGCTGGTGGAAAATACTACTATTTTTTCAACTTTCTCAGTAACAGAATTGCGGTTTTCAACTGGGTACATCGCCTCCAAACCAAAAGATTGGACTTCCCAACCTGCCTTGCCACTAGATATGACCAGGTAATTAAGTTTTGGCCAATAAGATATAAATGTAGCCCAACAGCTTTGTTCTTTTTGCTTAGGATTGCACTGGCTATCTGGGCTCTTTTTTGGTTCCATATGAATTTTAAAATGGTTTTTTCTAGTTCTGTGAAGATTGTCAGTGGTAGTTTAATAGGAGTAGCATTTAATCTATAAATTGCTTTGGGCAGTATGGCCATTTTAGCAATATTGATTCTTCCTATCCATGAGCATGGAATGTTTTTCCATTTGTTTGTGTCATCTCTGATTTCTTTGAGCAGTGTTTTGCAGTTCTCCTTACAGAAATATTTTACTTCCCTGGTTAGCTGTATTCCTAGGTAATTTTTTTTCCTTTCTGGCAATTGTGAATGAGATTGCATTCCTGATTTGGCTCTCCACTTCAGTGTTGTTGGTGTGTAGAAATGTTAGTGATTTTTGCACACTGATTTTGTATCCTGAGACTTTACTGAAGTTGTTTATCAGCTTAAGAAGCTTTTGGGCTGAGATTACGGGATTTTCTAGATATTTCCTACAGGGCTACAGTAACCAAAACAGCATGGTACTGATATAAAAAGAGGCACAGATACCAATAGAACAGAACAGAGAACCCAGAAATAACACTGCATACCTACAATTATCTGATTTTTGACAAACCTGACCAAAAAAAAGCAACGGGGGAAGGATTTACTATTTAATAAATCCTTCTGCGACAACTGGCTAGCCACATGCAGAAGATTGAAACTGGACCCCTTCCTTGCACCATATACAAAAATAAACTCAAGATGGATTAAAGACTTAAATGTAAAACTCAAAACTACAAAAACCCTGGAAGACAACCTAGTCAATGCCATTCTGGACATAGGAACGGGCAGAAACTTCATGACAAAGATGCCAAAAGCAATTGCAACAAAAGCAAAAATTGACAAATGGGATCTAATCCAACTAAAGAGCTTCTGCACAGCCAAAAAAATAAAAACTATCAACAGTAAACAACCTACAGAATAGGAGAAAATTTTTGCGAACTGTGCATCTGCCAAAGGTCTAATATCTAGCATCGACAAGGAACTTAAACAAATTTACAAGAAAAAAAATCCCATTAAAAGTGGGCAAAGGACATGAACACACACTTTTCAAACGAAGACATACATGTAGGGCTGGGTGTGGTGGCTCACGCCTGTAATCCCAGCCCTTTGGGAAGCCAAAGTGGGCGGATCATGAGGTCAGGAGATCAAGACCAGCCTGGACAACATGGTGAAACCCCGTCTCTACTAAAAATACAAAAATTACCCAGGCGTGATGGCAGGTGCCAGTAGTCCCAGCTATTCAGTCGGGAGGCTGAGGCAGGAGAATTGCTTGAACCTAGGAGGCGGAGGTTGCAGGTTGCAGTGAGCTGAGATCACGCCACTGCACTCCAGCCTCCTGGGCGACAGGGCGAGACTCTGTCTCAAAAAAAAAAAAAAGAAAAGAAAAGAAAAAAGAACACGATGTACATGTAGCCAACAAGCATATGAAAAAAAGCTCAAAATCACTGATCATTAGAGAAATGCAAATCACAACCACAATGAGATACCATCTCATACCAGTCAGTAT